CCCCCCCCAAAAAAAGAAGAAGTCAGATTTCCTCTCTGGAAATCTGGGGAGGAAATCTGACTTTGACTGGTGGCTTGTTTTTTTTCACCCCTCTATCTTGATAAAACATTTTTAAAAGGTAATTGCATTAAAATTACCTTAAGGATTCACTCCATTATACTGAAAATACAGGACTCAGTACTGTCTATCTGTCTATCTCAGCTTTCATTGAAGTGCAAATCATTATTATGATTTTTATGCATACTTTTGACAAGTAATGTATTCAAGATTATTGTAAAGTCTTTTGTAAAAATATCTGATCAATTTGTGCATTTAGGTTTCCAGAAGGAAACTGCAGAGAAATATCTGGTAGATAACACATATGCTGGAATTTTGATTGTGTTTTCCCCTGGTTTTGACTTACCTGGAAGCTGTTGGTGATTTTACATTTCTTTCCTATTTATCTAAAGCTCTTCTGGTACCTAACTGCTCACTTTACTTAAGGGATGGCACATAGCTCTTATTACATCAGCCTTCTCATCTGTAGAAATACCTTTTATGGCCAAAAAGAACATTTAATATGAAATAGGCATGCAAAGAAAATAATGCTACCTGCAGTTGTGCAGCAGGTCAGGCTACAGGTGAGGCTACTTTTCTGACATCTCATCTAACCCCTCCTGTTGCTTAAATTTGCTGTTTCCTCCGACTTTAGCAGGACTGTTTCCTCCGAGGGGGGTGCTAGGCTGACCTAAGACAATAGTTGAAGTTTGAAAGTTAGGAGTAAATGGTGTTGGCAGGTATGCCTGCAGAAAGCCTGAGATGTTTCTGAGCAGAGAAAAGTGAAAAAAGATACAGGACATGGGGAAGAGAAGCCCACGAATACTTCAGAAACAGATATTGTAGAATGAAAAGAAAGTGTTAGAGATTCACAACTGAACAACATAATGTAGAACACACTCCCGAGTGCTGGATGACAGCCACAACTTCATCTGTTAATCCTAACCCTAACCCTAACCTGGACTGGGTACAACCTACTCCAAAAAACCCACAACTGCCCTTTCTGAAGTGAAATAGCACAGGTCAAGCAGATTCCCTAAAATAGTAATTTGTTGGAAAAAATCATCACAGGTCAGTGCTGAACAGCTTGAGGTTATACAACATTCTAAATGTAATTAACTGCTATGTCAGAAGTACTCCATGAGTTCCTAAGTTATCAGGATTGGCACAGTTGCCTCTCTGCTTTTACCTGTAAACTTTGGTAAAGGTAAACTTTGAAAGCAGTTTCCAGCTTTAAAGCAGTTTGTGAAACGAGGAACTCAGGGAACTCAATGTGTGACACTGAATCATGGACTGGTCTGTCAAATCACCCACAAATTCTTCTAATTCTTGGACAAATAATATTCCTCTACTGTGCTTTCTGCCTAGAAAGTGCTTACTTTTGTTTTCAAAAAATAATATTATCCTGGAAAACTCTGAGACAAAATAGCAGCAGGTACCTCACAGTATGAAAACCTAGTTTTGAGTCTAATAGTCTAATCACAGCACTGAGGGGGAAAGAGCCCATCGATGTTATAACAAATAAGCACAGGCAACAGTGTCATGAATACATGATACGAATGAAGGAGTTCTTGCAAAGTATTCCTCACCTATTTAATGTGAGAGCCAGATTTCCTGCCCTCCGTGCCTCAGCACCCTCACAGTTAAACAAGCTCTCACAGTTGTGTTTAGAGAGTCTAGAATCATTCCAGTAAAATTGTCATTGATTGTCATCTCGGAAAAAAAAGAGACGTGCTCGCACACTAAAAGAGCATGAGCATTTAGGTATTTTTATGATTCTTCATATACACATTAAACCTGGCAAATTCAGCCAGGGCAGTAAAAACTTGTTTTGCTAGTTTAAATTTGCCACATACGAGTTACTTCTGATTTTAAAAAAATTACCGTTCCAACTCTGACAAAACTACTCCACCACCACCCCAAAGTTTCCACCAGAACTTGCAACCTGACAGCTCTGCAGGGCTCCCTGCGAGGAGCTGGGAAAAAGCAGGGACCGCAAACTTCTCTGCGCACGCAGTAACAAACACCACGAACACTAAGTAAAGGCTGTGAGAATTAGTTTGGATACTTTACCCGAGGCGGCAGCGTCGTTCTCTGCGCGCTCTGCTCCCGGCGGACGGGACGGAGCCGCGGCTCCCGGCGGCGCCGAGCGACACCGGGACACGGCAACGCCGGGACACCGAGCACCGCCCCCGGCACCGCCCTCGGC